GCCCCCTCTTCTCTTTGTCCCTTTTGTTTGTTCACCTTACATTTTTGATCTCCATCCACCAAAGTCTGGGTGGGATTTCGGGYGCAGCTGAGGAGCTCTCACCTGCAGTGAGGTCATGACCATAAACTCTTACCCATCACTCTCAGTTCAGATAAATCCTTTCTTCCTCCTCATTTGAYACCTGCCTCTTGTGTTTATTGTGTTCAACAATTTACATTTTGGAGGTATCCAGGAAATSAGCTACATTTTGGTGACAAATGTTTGTCTGTGCACAAGTTCTTCACCCTCACTGGACCTCTGTAGCTGCAAGAGGCTCCTTCTCTGCCTTTCTGAGGAGTTGGTTTGCTCAGCAGGGAACTCCAACTGTTTCTTGTTGGGGTTAAGGAGAAGYCTCACARAAGGAKCTTRTGAAWATGMCCAATTATCATTATCTGACAGCAATAAGATTTCTTTGGGTGCAGCTTTCTTGTCTTCTCCAGCTTTCRTTGTTTTAATTCCTCCTCTTTCCTCCCACCTCCACATCCTCTCAGTAAAGTTAATTTTTCTCTCTTTTCCTCAGTCTCCTGCTGACCAGTGTAAGAAAATCCATGCTGGTGATGAGGTGATCCAGGTCAACCACCAAACTGTGGTAAGTATTTTACAAATTCTGTTCCCAGAATTTCTTTGCCTGTTCCCAGTGGTTAAAAGGTTCTAATTCTTCTTTGCCCAACTATTTTATCATTATTTATGTCTTCTGAAACATCATATTCACTGCTTATTCTTAATAAGAAAAGRCACAAATTGAGTCCCTAACCATCCCAGAAGGATTAAGGCAAATTTACATTTTGCACAGCTGCTGTTCAACATCATGCTCTTTGTATAAGGAGATCCAAGAATATTTCCTTGAAGTTCTTAGACTTCTCATTATGCACTTGCCAGCTGGTTTAACTTTTCCTCTTGAACAGAATTTTGCATTCTGTTTAATGCAGGATCCAGATTAATAATGCAGAAGTGCTGTAACAGCCATGTACGCCGAATCTGATGGGGGGAAGATAGAAAAATGATGAAAGTGTTGATAGAAATCTGCCAGGTTTGGGGTTTGTGCATTCTTGGATAGAGATTTGTTTTTAAGATGCTCATAAGTGCATTCATGAGGAAGTGGATGCTCAACTCAGTATTGCAGTGTATGATTTAAACATAATTTAAATATGATTTAAATATAATTTAAATAGCTCCAGTGTTGCTGGAGCCACAGGTGAAAGGAACACTAGTATTTATTATTCCTTAGGCATCAGTAATGACAAGGACAATGTTAACTTCTTAATAAATTTCAAATTTAGCTATTTCCCTTTGTCCTGGTGAACCCCATCTCCAGGCACAGCAATGGCAAAATTAAGAAATCTCTTTCTGTCACTTRTGTGAAGTGGAAATATGAAAGTCTGGCTATTAAAATCTTATGATTAGAGAGCAAATATTTTCTCTTGAAAAGAAGTATAACTTATTCATTTACACTTGAAATGTTAATGCAACACACAGCTCTTATCTGTATTAGAGAGTTGTCATAGTTACAAGCTGAAATATGTATTAGCCTGGCTTTCTCCATCAAACACACTCTTCAAGTGACATATCTGATTTAATCTTTGCTCCCATAGGTGAAATTCCCCCATTCAGCTTCTCAAGAATTGGCTTTTTTTATCAACTCTTTCCATGTCTTTTCTTGCAGCAGGCTCAAGGTGGTTGATACTTGTAATCCCTTTCCACCTGAGGGCACAGGACCAACAGCTGAGTCAAGTGCCATGAAATACTTTTTCTTCCATAAAATACTTTTTTTTCTAAATAAAATCCCCCATATTGTATTAATTATTCTTTCTGAAGTTTCTAACAAGCTATGGCAAGGGATAAATGGCGCTGTTTCTTTTGGAAAGCTGTTCTTCCTTTGAAATGGCTCGGAAAGTCTCAATATGTGTTCAGTTTGGAAAATCAGGCAGAAATTGTGTGTTTGCATCGTACAGAGGTGTGTGTCCAACTTTTTCTCCCGCATGGATTAGAAGTTTTAATATTTTAAATACTTCTTAGATCTTCCAATGTGTCCTTTAAGTGGCTCCTGGCACTCCTTGCTGCAAGCTGCCCTTGTCTGTGCTGCTTTCTCACCCCAGTTACCACCTTGTGATGATCCATATTTTGCTCATAATTAGCATTATTTCCATTAGCGGACTGGAATAATTCAAAGGCAACAGCTCATTAAATTTCCACATAATCAATATTTTAATATTAGCACAACCAGCTCATAAAAAGGGGTGTAACCCATTTGAAATTAATGGCTGKGGGTTCAGAGAACTTGCCTATCTCTGGTGTTCTCACAGGTTTTCCKGAGATKATTTCATTTTGGTTATCYTAACCAACACATTTGCTTAAGRGTGRTGTTTTCATACCATTTTGGTWGCAATACTCTATRTTTKATCAAATATCAACCCCTCCAACACAATGTGTTTGGAAGAATCTGCCCTGAAGATGATTAGGAAATGTAATTTTGAACTATCCTGGTGGAAATGCTTCCCTGAGTACAGAAAGTGTGAATCCCTTCTAACAGATTCCAACCTTATAGCTGACTCCCAGCACCATTTACTCTGATTTTGACTGAACTAGGCCAATGTGTTTTCTAGATAAATTCATATTCTCTCATTTAATGTGATCATTTGAGTTTTAAAACTTCCATTGACGTTCCCACAACCTGTAATAAATTGYGCCGGGAGTTAATTATTCTCATTGCTGGGAGGGGAAAAAAGTCATTTTATTTGTAGTCTATATTTGTCTGGCACGAGCTTCCAGTCCTTTGATCTTGATGTATTTTTATCTATTAAATTGGAGAGCAGGTTTCTCTTTTAGGTATTTTCAGGATGCAATCAAATTAGCTCATCTTCTTTTTTTTTTTAGCAAGCTGGATAATTTGAGCACTTCCAGTTTGCCATCCTGATGCATGGCCCTCCTCAGCATCCTCTTTGAATTCCCAGCTGTAACACTCTGCATTTTTAACAGGGATTTATGGAGCTGTCCAGGGCAAGGATTCACTCGTGGGTAGGGCTGAACTCTGGTGCTAAAAGAGGAAAAATGAGATTCGAAAGGAATGGTCACGATTTTGAAAGTTTTACTTTATTTTTCTAACAGCTTTTCTGTTGAGAGTTAAGTGTTCAGGAAGTATTAAAGGAAAGCTGCTTCCAAATCGTGGGATGCAACAATAGAAGGAGCTGGAAATAAAAGCTTTGCCACGTGGAATGTGGTCTAACCAAGGAACACTCTGTGATACAATTACAAAGATCAAAGGAAAAATAATCATACTTTAAGCAAAAAATTAATTAAATTGGGCGATTCACCACTGGCTGTTAAGATCATTTAATTGTTATCCAATTTAATTATTTGCTTTTCTGCTTGTTCTTCTTGCTTATAAGGTTTTAATAAAACAGCATAAGTAACTTGAAGAATAACTTATATATTCTGAATTACTGCCACCCTAACTCTTTATTTTTCCCTACAATAACAACAGGCACCAATTCTGTCAGTGCCTTGTAGATTTTTACTTCCACAATTTTATGAAATTACGCAGGAATATTGAAGATGCCACTGTAGTATTTCTTTGTTTGCAAAATTAACAATTACACCTTAGGTGGTGCATTTTCTGCTGCCTAGYTGAAATGGTAAATTTCATATTGTAATTTCTTTCAGCATAAATTTATGAAAAATGTTTTAATRTTTCATTTCAATAGTTTTTCAGACAATGAAAATCTTGAAGAGCAAACAAACATTGATTCATCTRCCTGACCATCTGTAAAATATTTGATCTACTTCTGTATTTGTGATTTGTAAACAAGGGAAAACTGACTTTTCTCTGTCTTCTATTATTTTTTCTTCTTCCTTTTTTTTCTTTTTTTTTTGTGAGGGTTAGGATTTGAAGGTTATTTCAGAGGACAGAGAGCAATAATAAGGCTTTTAGTAATTCCTGTTGAAAGCTCGATGTCACTCAGGAGCACCTGGCCAGAGTCCAGGAGTCAGAATGTAGTAATTAATCCCAAACCAACTGAGCACCACWGAGCTGATGGGACTGAAAATGGCAAAGATGAACTTGGAATTAATCAGGAACAGGTTTTTCCAGGAGAAACTGAGTTTGGATTCCATTGTCTTGACATTAGTAATATCTTGTCTGAAATACTGTGTGATCTTCGGGTCATTTACAGCCATCAAAGGTGTTAAGTTAGATATGAGTTTTAAAAAAATGTAATGGGTAAAAAAGAAAATGTGTCATCTGTCTCAGAGGAAGAGAAATTATTTAAGGATTTCAGTTTGGTTAACTCAGCCAGCTGGGTGTGAGACAGAATTCYTCTTTCTTCACAGACAGAGGCAATAAAGACCAGAAAGAGAAACAGCTCCTCAAGGTATAAAACAATGCTGTGCCAGAGCAAGAGGCCACAGAAATATCTGTAATAAATCTCTTGTGCTATGTGTTTCTTATATCCCTTTTAAACAGCTGCTGGTTTTAACAGAAACCATTGTATTTTCACATTTGGTGAGGTTGTTCCTTGGAATGATGGATCCTGGGCTTTCAAGGGCAAGGAAGAAAAGTGGGGTCAGACTTTTTAGTAAGACCTGTTGTAAAGGGGCAATGACTTTCTGCTGAAARAGGGGAAATTTGGACCAGGTATATGGAAGAAATCGTTTTACAATGAAACTCAGGCACAGGAGGAGCTGTGGCTGCCCCATCCCTGGGAATGTCCAAGGCCAGGCTGGACAGGGTTCTGAGCATCCCAATCCACTTGGGAGTGACCCCACTCCTTGCAGGAGGGCAGGACAAAACGACCTTTAAATGGCCCTGCTGACCCCAAATATTCAGTGTCTCTAAACACACAATCAGCAGCCCAATGCCCTTTCACACTGCTCGTTGTCAAATTACATGCTTGAAATTAAGTGTGTCAAGAGCCTGGCACAATGAAATMATTTCAGCACTAATTTATTTGTACKAAGACAGTCATTGAATTAATACCCCCRGTGTATGTTTGCTGAATTGTAAATTTGAGCCCTGATGAGAGCTCGTTTTGGGTGGAGGTAAATCTGAAAATGCAGTGCCAGGTCACACCATCTGTGTTTCAGCAYGCTCTGTGCTGGGAAATGTGAGCAGGAGGGGAAAAAAAAGGACAAAAGATGTCATGAGAATTGTGATTTCTTTTCCCCAAAGATGCCCTTCTGTTTCCCAACAAAGTGCCACATGTTCCTGATCCTGCCTTTCAGAAAGGCTGAGCAAAGCCTGTCTTGTCTTCCTGCAGCCCATCTCGCTGCTTCTTGGATTCTCACTGTGTTTCTCCATTAGTTAATGAAAATAACTATGTCAGATAATGGGAGAACATTTGGTTTTCCATCATCAATTATTGTTAGGAGCAGYTCGAATATTAATGAGAGTGAATCAGCTACAGGTGTTAATGACGAGCTTCCCGTTCAGTGGCAGGAAAGTCTTATGATCTTCCAGCACATTTTTGTCTAATAATAATTTCTGATTTCCATGTTAATCAAACCAGCTCCCTTGATTAATTCCCTAATGAGGCAAAGTGAATTACAGACTTAAAATACGAAAAGATGATCGTCTGCTTCCTTAACAAAAATTTGGGTTTACACAGGTTGGGTTTTTTTTTTTTTTAATGCAAATATGAAGAGAGGTCAGACTTGGCAGGTTCAAGGAAATATCCAGATGGCTTTGCTTATGTGTTTGAAGAGTCACGAGGGGAAACATCTGTCCTGGTTCCTGGGAGGGGTTACTGCAGTCAGAGCAGAATTAYTCATTTTCAGGTAGTGTGCAATACCCTAGGTTATAAATATTTAGAAAATATTTGGCACAACTGATTTCCCGACCAAATGCCTGACAGGGGTGCTTTTAAATTCCTGTTGGTTGTTGCTCTGTCTCCCCAATTCAGGTGACAGCAAAGCTGGCAGGTGACCCCATGGACAGAACAGGCACCCAAAATCTCCCAGGCAAACCAGGGCGTACCTGCCTTCCTTCTGTCAGCTGCACTTGCTGCTTCTGCTTTTCTTAAAACCTTCCCACTGACAGGGTTTGATAAGGCAGTGAAGGAACTGAAGAACCCATTCCTGCTTTGAGCCCAGAATTTTCAGGGAAAGCAGAGAAAAGAGCAGATGCCTCTCCTCTTTGCACTCCCAGCTCCTCTGTCTGAGCTCAGTTTTACTTCTGAATTCCTGCCATAACAAACACGTGTAAGGTGTTTGGAGGAAATTGGAAGGGAGTGAACAACTGCTGTGGGGTTTGGAGCACTGGAATCCTCTGATAAACACCACCCTGCTCCACAGTTYAGCTGTTCTCCCAATTCCCTTTGATAGATAAATATATCATCCACCTAATGCCTCTGCAGACCCCCAAAAATGCACTGAATTGGGGCTTTTTTGTGCATCTGTAACTTTAGGAGTTTTTGGTATTAATTTTTTATACAGATCTGKGGTGACTCATCCCCAGGCAGGTAGGTTTTATTTTAAAAGGTGCTTTTCCAGCATGAAGAGGGTTTGGATTTATGACAATGCTGAAATCCCTACTGCTGGTAGGATGCATTCCAAATCCCATTCATGCAAATCCAGATCCTCTGAGTGAGAAGGAGAAAAATAATTCTGGGGAGAGTTTGAAGAAAATATTGGAGAACTAAAAAATCTCTGGCTTGCTGTTGGTGAAAGTGAGTTTTTCATGTTTTTYTGAACATGTAAGTTAAGCAGCCCCAGCTACAAAATTATCAGGTTTAGTTCTACAAAATTACMACAGCATTGTGGAATTTTCTGGTAAAGACATTTATTATTGTAGGGATTCGTACTTTTCAATCTATAATTCTTAAAGTTGCTATATTCTTATTTTTTTGCTGCACAGTTTCTATGAGAAAATGAATAGATCCTTTAAAAAAAACCCCAGCATCTACAGGTTTTTTGTTTTTTTTTTCCTGGATCTCTTGTCTCCACACTGAGGATGTATAAACAAGTAAATCRTAATGATTATGGCAATCCTAAGTGTAAAACACCAAATTTTTTAATGTCTGCCTGTCTCTGGGCATTTTGAGTGAATTCTTTTGCATTGCTCCTGGTTTCTTCCACCTTTAGCAGCTAAACCAGCATCCATTTTAATTTACAGAGGAAAATAAAAAGTATCACATTAGTCTTTATTTCTTCATTAGCCTAATTTTAATGTTACCTTTCCATGGTGAAATCTCTTAACCCATTTTGTAGAATCTGATTGACTTTGCTAAAAATCTTAAAGAAGCAAAATACCCTTCTGGTGGGAAATGTGAGCTAGAGCTAGAAGTTACTAATTGCCTTAAAGACTGATTCTGTAGGGGTAAATGTCAAAACCTGTCTCAAGGACTGGTTTTCAACAAAGATCTTTAATCCACTGTAATGGCTTCTCTTTTTTTCAAAGATATTTTTAGTAATACAATTTATAATAACTTGTCCARATTCCTGAGAGCATTTTATCAACGCCCAGTAGTAATGACTGCAGACTGTTCTCTGATAGATCTTGGTATTTAATGGTTTTGTCATTAGGGATCTCATTGGAATAATTTATCKCTGATTTAATTATTTATCATCCTTTTCTAAAAGGAGCTCGCGGAACTCTGAGGATTTCAGCAATCTGAAAATTATATTGATCTATAAAAATCCAAAAGAGTTCCATTTGATTTCTATCACTGAATAAAAGAAAAAAAGAAATATATAGATATATAAATATATAGATACAGAGATATATCAATATGTTGATATATAGMTATATGGCCCCAGTCCTTTTAGAAGAGAACTGGAAGAGTTTTTTGRGCTGCAAGCTGTCATCCTTGCATTTGTTTGTATGGGTTCTGTTTGCTTTTAGGAAGTTTTCAGTAGTACAGACATGTTCTATGTAGATAATAATATAATAAAAAATAGAACTTTAAGAAGTCATTAAAATCCTTTTTGGGATTCCAGCACACATTGCAGCTCTGTCCAAGATGGATGTTCACAGCTTTGGCCCACTGTGGAACAATCTGTATCCCAACTTCTTCTCAGCCCTTAGAAGACGATTTTAACTCAAATCTCCTGGAGGTTGTCTTTATTATTTTCCCCTCACCTAAAAATCTGCCCTGATTGGGACAGAAAAGGCAGAGGAAAAAGAAAAACCCTGAAAATAATTKTTCTGTTTTCACGCATAAATAATTCACGATAAATTCCTACTTAAATAACCAAGAAAACTAAAAAATGTCTTGAAGTATCTTTTTCTGAGTGGTACATCCTTGCAGGACCAGTGCTGTCCTTTTTTAGGGCTCTCTTTTCAATTTACAGTAATTTGGAGACTCAGCTGTGTTCAGGGCTGTACAGATAAATCAATAAATGATCATTTATCTCCAGTTAAATATCACAGCTCTTACACACATGTGCCATGTGCTGTTCCATCACAGCCTGTCTTCCTCCTCAGCACTGGATGTTGCAACTCAGGAGCCAGACTGAAATGATTTCATGGCTTCTAGGACCTCATCTTTTGGTTTTAAGTGTTTCAAATGATTTCATGGCTTCTGGGACCTCATCTTCTGGTTTAAAATCTTCCACGACCTCACGAGTTATTGTAAGGGTAACAGTGTTGACTCCTGCCTTATTTTGTTCAGAAACACAGCTAAAGAAAAAAATAAAAATCCAGCTGCAGCGGCATCATTGCAGCCCAACAGAGCTGATAAAAATTGCTYATGTTTGCAAGGAGCAGGCTGTAACAGACCTTGCTGGTGAGAAGATTTCCTTCCCATTTGGAGTTAAATGGAAAGCTTTCAAAAATTCAATTATGGACTTTCTCCTCAGGTTGGCTGGCAGTTAAAGAACCTGGTAAATGCACTGTGGGAAGACCCAAATGGAGTGATTTTAACCTTGAAAAAGCGACCTCAGAATACGCTGGTSTCTGCTCCTGCCCTGCTGAAGAATGTGAGGTGGAAGCCTCTTGCACTGCAGGTAAGGTGGCTGCTGCAATGCTTTATTTGAGAGAAAACACGAGAATTTTTCCTTCTTTAAAGGAGCAGGAGCCTGTCCCAACCTCCTTTGAGGCAGAGTGCTGAGATAAATGAGTATGGCAGTGCTGAAGGTGTCAATCAGATTGTTTTCTCCATGTTCTGGTGGCTTTGGGAGCCACAGGAATTCAGACAGGAAAGAACRTTTACAGAGTTTTGTGGAGAGCAARKTTCAGTGGCTGCTCTGGCTGGCAGAGGCAGCAGTGCCTCCCATTTTCTGTGATTTCACAGTCTGTCAGCTCCTTGTTTGTAATCAAGTGTGTCAGATCCATTAAATTCCAGAACTCTGCTTCTGTTCCATGCCTCTCACGCAGCTGCAGTTTTTGGTAGCAGGGATAATAGAACCTCTGGTGTTTTCTCTGTACTTGTTCCTCGAAAACCAGATGATGAAAAAAAAAAAAAAAAAAAAAAAAAAAAAATACAATTTTGAACATCCCAGCTGGTTCTTCCTACAGCATCAACAATATGCAGGAGAAACTGGCTGAAACAAACCCTAAAATGTCATTTTTAAAGGAAAGGTTTACTGAGGGTTGTCTTTAATGCCACATAACATCTGTAATAGGTTCAAGCACTTCTTCTCAGAGCTGTTTTGTTTCAATCTCACAATGCATGAATGTGTTTCTGAATTATTTTTAAATGAATGAAAGAAACTGAACCTTTCAAGCCTGTCCAGGCAGATTTCCTGCCTGCCTGGCATTTTCTAAATTTTTCATTTCTCAAAGTGCCTGAATCCTACACAGTGGCTTCACTCAAGGAGTTTGTGTAATCCTGGCAGCCCAGGAATGCTGATTTAGGGCATTTAGGGATTTAGGGCCACCTTCCTTTCTCTGTGGCTGCCCCTGGGGGAGAGGAACGGGGCCCTGTGACACCCAGAAGGGATTTTTCTGTCAGTGCTGCAGGGATAACATCCTTTGCTCTGGCAAGATGCTCATTTGTGAACTTCAGATGGAGCCTCCAAGGGCAGCAAAATGGAAACTGCATTTGCACAGGGCTCCCAGAGAGATCTTCTCTGCCAATTTGTACCTTAAAGAACCACAATTCAGGAGCAGCCCCAGATCTGGAGGCTGTGTCAGGGTGGAACTGTGGGTGCTGTATACACTGTACACGTGGCACAGGATTTGCCATTAAAAATGCCAATTTTTGCCATGGTAGCCTGAAAACTGAAACAGCAGCAAGCTGTTTTTGGGGAATTATCAGCAATTCTGGTGTTGTGATGTGTCCTCTCCTGATGAGCCCCTGAGGATCAAAATGTACTTAAAGTGTCACCTTCCTGGGATAAATTTCTTCTGTACGAGATGATAGTGAGGTGAGATAGTTAAATTAAAATCTAAACCACTTGGGAAAAGAAAACCAGCACTGCCAGTGTTCCTTCTAAACATTAGAGTCTGTTGTAAGTCGTGGAAAACCAATCTTAGGTCTTTTATTCTTCCCTGCCACAGACACAAGCTCAAAGGTGAGGACCTGGATCCGTTTCAGGACGCAGGTTTTGGGTTTGCCTGTTTCCTGCAGCTCTCACCTGGGCCTGGTATTATTTATTTTGGTCAGTAATGAGTTGGAAGCAGGCTGATTAAATTCCAAGATGACACTGAAGTCTGTGCTTCCCGGACAGCTGACACAACAGCTTGTTGCTGCTGGAAGCTCTGAGCTCACTTCCCTCTCTGTTGGCTGCAGCCTCCTCACCTTTCGGGCACTTTGGCAGTTTTCAGACCTTRGAGCAGTTTCATGGGTTGAWTTGGAAGGGAAATTTYTGGGTTTGTTTGTTTGTTTGTKGTTCTGGAGWTTCYTGCYRCTGATGGATTGAATTGGCTCTCRCAGGACAGGGTTTGGGATAAGGAGAGAGCACAGCACAGACAGGGGGGTTTGCACCGAGACAAAAACAGGATATGGGATGGGCAAACAGCAAAAAAAACGCAGAAAAATATCTCAGGGAAAGCAGATTAAAAGAGAAAACTGTTCAGACTGTCCCATAAAAAGGGATAACACATATGGGTGTGTTCTGTTTCATGTGTGTTCAGGTACAGATCCATACACATTACTCTGCAGGTGATATTTTCATGGTTTATGTATCCACATGTGGAGCAATTTTTTTCATTCTGATTTAGTAAAGAAAAAAAAAACAAAAAAAATTGCAGTACATAATTAGGGAAAGCACAAAGGAAATAGGATTTAAGAACTTGAAATCCTATTTGTTACCTCRGGTTGGTGCACAGCAGGAAGTTTTAAATAGAAGTTGTCATGTTTGCTATTGTTGCTTAAGGCACTTACAGATGTTATTAATATTTTCCCCACAATAATTAAGTTTAAAATTATACTGCATAGGTAATTTATGAATTATTGATGAYGCAGAATCTGGGAGTCCTCATAAAATTTATTACCTGGCCTTGTTGCAGTTATTCCTTTGCTGCAGAGGATTTCCCTTGATGCTCAATTAACAGCAGCAGAGTTTTCATTTGCCAGTTCTGTGTTCCATTATCTTGAGATGTGGTGACACCATTTGCTCCTTTTGTCTCTGGCTGACATTGAGTGATAGKAGAAAACTTCTGGAATTTTTAAACTCTGTGATTATTTCCCCACTTAGGATAAAACTTTTTTTGTCATTTGAAATGGCGAATGGTGCTCTGGATTTTTGCTAACGTGAGCACACTATGACTTCATTCAAATAAAATGCAATSTTTATTGTATTTTATTTCTTTTCATTTGGAGAAATTTTCAAATTGGAATAATACTTCCTGTCACAACTAATTGATGCTGAACATTGCACAGCTTATTATTTTGTTTGAGATAACAATAAGCATTGAGGACTAATATAATTTGGATCCCTCAGCAGACTGACATTTTAGGAAAGAAACCCTCTTTTTTGTATTTAGAACTGCTTTTACTTTTTGAACCACATAAAAACCACTTCAGTGTTTACTTTTAGAACACTCACAGCCTTGTATTTAGAAGGAGATTGGTGTTTATAGCTTTCAACCAAATTTTAAGTCTCTGTATTTTCCTTCCACCTGTAGAAAATTGGTTGTATCTATTTAAGCACATTTTTTGCAAATAAAAATATTTTCTATTTCTTGAGTATCAACACAGACTGCACCTTGGCTGAAAAATATTCTTTGTTTACATTTCTGTATCCTGCACAGATCCAAATTCCTCTGTGTTTAGTTATCATCCTCCTCATCCTTGCAGACCATTGAGTGGACATTCTCCATGACATCTGAATMAAAAAATGGTGTTTAACTTCATGTAAAAGATTCAGAAGTAAAAACCTTGAAGGACATTTATTTATTGTTTAGGTTAATTTCTATTTCTTAGTTATTTACCATAGAATATGAATCTGTTTCACCATGGCCACAAAACCGAAGGACAATGAATTCTCCTCTTAAAAAAATCAAGATGTTCTGTCTTTGTTAACAATAAATCTTCCACTGAAACCAACATGATCATTTTATTCAGTACAAGTATTCCAGAGCTCTGTAATTAACTTCTGTATTAATGGCATTTAATACAGTGTGTCCCTTCTCCTCACAGAATTGATTTTCTGCATTGATTAAAGATCATATTTTGATTGAGTCTCAGATTCTCCCTTGAGGTGGCTTTTCAATTAATTTAATGGTCATTTATTAGTTTTTTCATAACTAATATTGAAGTCTTGAGCTTCACCAGACACCTTTTTGGAAGAAACTTCAAAAATTCAAAAAAGAGKACAAAATTCCTAAAGTTACGCACATTGATTTTGATGTTTATTGTAGCATAAAAAACATGAATTTATTCTTCATGAGTCTTTTTGTTTTTTTCACAGCCTGTGATCCCAACCAGCCCCACAAGCAGCTCCACAACCCCAACGAGTACCATGGGCATGTCCTCAAAAATGGACAACTCCGCGCTCCAGGACGTTTTCATTCTCTCTCCCATGTCAGGACTTTATGGCCCCAGGTATTTATATCCTAAAGAATTTGAGGTTTTGACAAGTAAAACTTTACACTTGAATTTTATTAGATCAATAAAGCAAAACCAAAAGAAACTGCCCCACAATCAAGCTAAATAATGAATAAAATTAAGAGGCAGAAATGCATTGAGCATCATAGCATTGAGTGACTTAACTTTCACTCAGCTGAGCAAAACCTGGGTTTAGTCTTAAATCAAGAAATTATTTAAAGAAGCCTCTAATCAATTAATTTTATTTCCTTTTATGTGTCCTCTCATACCTTGTTCTCAAGCATTTCTCCAAGAGAATCTCCTTGTCTGCTCACATTACAACAATTCCTTAAATTCTCCTTCAGATCCTAGAAAATTGGATATGTCTGCTTATCTCACAATTAAAGTGGCACCTAATGATGACTTTGTTAATTTTATTTAGTGGAATTGCCTCACTTCTTATAAAGTTCTCCCATGCAGCATTTGATTCACAAGACTTTTGATTTKTAGTGTTTGGGAGAGGCAGTGGCATGATTGTTATTTATGTTAAATTGTTCCTTTCTGCACCAACTTCTGTTTTTAGGGATGAAATTGGAATCATGTCCTGCGATGACATCAGCAAATTTGGCAAGTCTGGGATGAAAGGCTCTGAGTCTCCCAACTATTTCCTGGAGCAYGAGAGTGGGAAATACTACACGCTGATGGAAGGGGAAGGACACCCTGGGGGCTCTGAGTACGACAGGGGCAGAGCCACGGGCGTCAGGAGAAGGGAAAAAACACCCACCCATGGTAGGCTGAATCTCCTCAAATTTGTGCTGCTTGGTCACATTTACAAACTGTGCTGGTAACTCTCCAACCCCCCAAAAATCTGGTGTTCTTCATCAGTCCCTGACCTGTGGGTTCTGAATATTAAACAAAAGTTTGCATGAATGAATAATTAGAAAAATGATTTTTTTCTATTTTTCCATTTTTTTCTATTTTATYATACTCCTAACATTCCTGGTCAGGAGTAAGTTATTTATGCAGTTATTTTGCACTACATACTCAAACATTRGCTGGTTATTAAATTCCTATTCTTTTATATAGGCAACAGCATGATTTACTCAATTTCCCTCCCACTCTTTGAGATTATTCCACTTTCAATGTTCTGGGCTGTTAAACTTCAGTGAAGGGCCTGACTTGTGGRGTGGAAGTGTCTGTGAGACAGAAAGCCCCCCAAAATTCAGCATTAAATGCATGAGGATTTACAGTTCATTAGTGCTTGAACTGTATTTCAAAATCTTAGGAWGGGGACTGCTTAAATATATAAACTGTTCCTAAAAATCTGGTTTTCCATAGGAATTTTGTGTGTATATAAATATATATTGAGTGTAGAGGTGTACAGTCACACATGCTTCTATATGAATWTATGATCTGTATAAAATATACTGTTGAAAATTAATTGATAATTTTTTGCTTATCTGTTTAAACCAAATTGTTTGGTGTTTAATGAATTTGACAAAAGTACTCCTACAGTACAGTGTATTCTCCATGCATTTGCAGTGGCTTTATTTTCAAGGCAGTAAGATATTTCTGCAAAGCTTACAGATTTCAGAWAAGAGAYTTATTTTATAAACTAATTATACCTGATTTTAAAAATGGCATTATTTCTGAGCCTCAGGGAAAGCAGTGACTGTAGTGTTCTCTCTACCTGCTATTTTCTGAGGTATATATACATATTTATTTGTGTRTGGCTAGCCATCAATAAATATCATTTTATTTAATATTTATTAAGTATCACACATCAATAATAGCACTTTATTCACCTACACTGAGACTTTTTTTCTCTCATTTTGTTAAAAAAAAAAAAAAAATCCGAATTTTTTTTGTCTTTGAAGTCAAGGAAAGGGAAAACCTCTCAGAAGCTCAGAGTAGGACAGGAAAATGTGTCTGTGAGAACACAGGAACTRAAATCCTGCTGCATTTCAATGGAGAGAATCCCAAGAGTGGCTCTGGTGGAAGATCCAACAGCCAAAAAAGGGGAGCACAGTGGGGAAAAAAGAGAATTTTTTCAGTACTGCAGTCCCTGACTCTGCTGGTCTGACTCAGCTGCTCAGTCTGGAGTGGGATTTGAGACCAGGGATGTCCTTAAAACCAATTTCTCTGCCTCCTGTTCCACCATTTACCTCGTGTTTATCAGTTACTTTCCTCCTGTTGCTGTGATTTTCTGGATTTTTGGTAAAAACAGCCAGTAAAATGGATTTAAGGGTGTGTAGGTACACACAGAACCTTCCCAGGGCAGGAAATCTTAATAAATCTTTGTTAAACACGGGATATTTTTAGTAACTGCTCCAGTCACTTGATGCTTGAAGGAGCTGTGACGTTGAGGAATAGGATTCCATCTTCAGTAATGTTCACTCTTTATCTCCTGGCAGAGTGACATCATTTTAAAATAAAATTAGAAGCAAAGATAAAGATAAATCTTAACAGTGATTCAAATTCGAGCCAGATGGGTATATTTGGGTTGCTCTCACAAATTCTTGCTGCATGGTGAYTTAAAATATTGTTCTGCCTGACCCCAGGAATACACAAGATTTTTTTTTTTTTATGATGGACAATTCTGATTTTCTGCAACTTTGAAAATCCAGAAGGAGTTTGATTTTAAAGCCTCTGAAATACATCTTTCTCTCAAAAATGATTGATAAACCAGAGTTTTTTACAATTACAGATTTAATTAATCTGTTGATTAGCAGACATGCAAATTATGTTCTATTTTAGTGGAATGTTTTGTACTTTCTGACTGAAAGGTGACATAAATCATCAAAGTGACAACATGTCCTTCAGTAAAAACACAGGATTGATGGCAAGTCCAGTAAACTGATGCTGGAAGCAGAGAGCCATGGGCAAAGCAAGGAAAATAAAATTTCTGAAGCCTTTTATGGCTGAGCAGGACTTTCATTATTGCTCATTATTGACACAAACCACTGCTCCAAAATTCCAGCTTTGGACTGAGCAGAATTCCAGCCATTATTAGAAATAAGTGCCCTGTGAGATGGCAGAGGGGTGGGAGCTCAGGCAGGTGACACCCTGAGGATTGACAATAAATGTAAGAAGGTAAAAAAAGAAATCCAGTTTTTCCAACTATTTGTGCAAATATGAGTTTTTGCAGAGCAGAGCTGAAAAATAAGTTTGTYATCTGCTTTACATTTACAAGCAATTTCACCAAAGCTGGGGGTGCCTCCCTGGAGGTCGGGGTGATGGAGAGGAGGCTCTGTGGTGTTTCCCTGATCTTAAATAATGAACTGCCCTGAGGGATTGTGTCACACTCAATTTATGAACATCACTGACTCTACAGCTTTCCCTTCCCAGGWTTCCAGACTCACACTGGTTTTCCTTGATTTGTTTCCAGGAGATTTAAGGCCAGTCTCGATGCCAACCGAGTACAGCTGGATAGGGGAGTCCAAAGAACAGAACATGTACAAGAGGGGAAGCAGAGGTGAGTATTTTTTTTTTCTCTGCTGTTCTCCATGGTGTTTTTTCCTTTGCTATTTAAGGAACATCATAGGAAATAAATACTTTCTTCTTTTTTTTTTTTTTTTTTTGAGTGTCCAGAGGATATAAAAGAACCTGTTTAATGTCTTGGCTTTTGTGTTTCTACTTCTGCAAATTTTAAAGTTTGAATTGGTAGGAGGAATTCAATTCCAGTATAAAGAAAGATAAACATCAAGGGAAATTTAAATTTGAATTAAAATTTGGAATATGAATCAGCAATTGTACTGTCAGTGTCCAGACCAGAAGTTCTGATCACAGAAACTTCCATTGATTCCAGTGGGAATTATGAATTTTGCAAGAAAGCAAAGTGATTACGTTTTTCCTTTATTTCCTCTGATAAAAAACAATAAAATATTCAAGAGAATATTCTTCAAATACACAACTATATTTATGCCAGTAGTTAAAGATTCTTGAAAACTATTTTTTTTAGAATCTTTTAGGAATGGTCTGGAAGCTGAGAGGAGTTCAACCTGATTCCTTAAAATGTGACAAAAATTGAACGATATCCTTGAAAATCAATACAGGAACTTAAACTACCTTTTTCAGTAAACTTCCATTCCAAGAAAAAATAAATTTCATTTCAGGCACAAGCCTTTTCTGCTTTATTCCAAATCTGTTGATGTATGTTTAGCTCATATTTCASTGCTACAGACAGTAACAGTTGTCTGGCCAGCTCCCATTTTGAAACTGTGCCCAAGTACACCACACATCTCCTTAAAATCATCATTCCAGCTTGTCAGGTTCCTTGAAATTACAATCCTGGTCCCTGGAATGGTCCCAGAGATG